GAGTTGCCACTCCTTGTGTACTTAGAACAGCTTTCACTAAACCTGGAGAAGTGCTTGCAGCAGGATTCATCCCCTGGAAGGGATGAACTTACACAAAGGGGAAAGGTAAACTGGCACACAGCACTTGCTCTCACAGGTGGGAATAATGGTTGGATATAACTAACATTGGTACTCAAGGTATCTTCAGGTGCAAGTAATGATCTTTCAGGTGGGAAGTGGCAGCTATTTTACTGCATGCAGTTTGAGCACTGTGTTAATGAGAACATGCTGTTCCTTTGCTACTAAGCTGCTTTAAAAGCTGGCATTTCAGTTTTGAAGCTTTTATTTAGTTAAGTAAGTGCTTAGTGTCCTCACTGGGAGCTGCTGGGATAGCAAGGGGGACGGTAAGCACTCTCCAAATGAGTGGATAAGTAACAAAATCCTATTTAAGCTGTTGTTGTGCTGCCAGATCCACCTTCCACATTTGAAAACTGAATAGGATGACTAATTATCTCCTCTTTGCTCAGAGAGATACCAAATACTAGCCATGCTCTTCTCACTTTGAATTAAGAAGAAAATTTGCGGTGACTGTCTTTTTTGCTGGAGTGTTAGTGAGAGAGAAACAAGCTGACTGCAGGCTGAATTTCCAGCTCGTGTTCCCCTGGGAAACTCCCTGGGCACCGTGGAGCATCCATGCCAGGGCAAGTCTTGCTTTCTCATCCACATTCCTGAGCTCCACTGCCAGGCTGATCCCTGCGGGAAGCGGTGCTGGCTCTCTGAAGACCCATCCCACGTTGGGGAAGGGGGCAGCCGGTGAGCACGGACAGCCTGGCCCCCTGCCTCTTTTGGGAGTTTAGACACCCAATTCATGGCTCGATATAGCGTGTCCATTTCTTTCAGGAGCGGGTGGTTTACCACAAAGGGCAGGCTAACAGGAGGATGTGTTCTCCCAGCCTTCTCCCAGCCTGTTGAAGAGATGCCGCTAACCAAACCTCACGTGAGATTTGCAGGGCTGTGGAAGGGCCTGCCTCTGATTCGGTGAGGAGGTGTCCCAGCCTCATGTCACGGATAGGTGCCTGCTGCACTAAAATCACTGGATAAAACACAAGCACTCGCTTCTGCTGGCTGCAGTTTCCACAGCTGAATAGATCTTTATCTGCCTCTACATTTCAGTTGTGACTGGAGAGAAGAGCTTGCTTCAACTTGTATAGCGCCAGTACTTAAAAATCACCCTTCTTCAGCCTTTCCTAAGTATGAGAAAGACCCTCAGAGCATGTGAGTATGAACATGAGCCTGAGTGTCATGGCAGGGCCCTGCCTGCAGCCCTCTGCACAGGCAGCATCTTTTGCTCTTAGCACAGAACTCGCAGTTCTGGCTCTGGCAACTCGGTGCAAGTCAGTGCCATCAACTTTGCCTGAGTTTCTACACCGCTCAACTCCCCTTTCTCTTGCTGGAAACCCCACACACAATAGAAGCTGCGTGCCTGGCCCAGGAGCCGTGCTGGCATGGGGAAGGAGCCAGGTCGGGAAGGAAGAGGGAATCCCATTAGGGAAAATGGCTACTCTGGGTCCACAGCAGAATTAAGAAGTTCACATAAGTAAGTACACCATGAACACTGCAATTTGTCCCTCGCTAGACACTCACTTTCTGCTCTCTGGAACACACAGGCTGCCTGTAAGTGCCAAGAGTTTTCAGTTTGTTGACTCAGTGTTGCAAGCGTCAAAAGACCGTTCCTTCCAGATGAACCCATTGCCCTTTGGACCTAAAAAGGAAGGGCAATACCCTACCTAAGCATCAATCCAAATCCTGCAGCACTCCCCCTGCTGCCACCAGCGCCAGCACCAAGATCTACTGCATTTCTTCAGATAGATGGAAAAAAAACCCAGAAAAACAAATGAGGTTGCTGCCCACCCAGCTGGGGACTGAAGAAGCTCTGCCTGCTGGCAATGAAACCATGCTGCTTGCATACAGGGAATGTCAGGAAAAAGGCCAGCTGTACTACGAATAGCTTTCTGCTGAGGCCCCCTCAGTAAGTTTATGACAGAATTGTACGGACATGGTGAATAAATCACTTACCTTAAGAAGAGGAGACAGAGTAAAATGAGAAGACAGATTTGGTGTGATGGGCAGTGACTTAATCTAGGTAATTATCCAGTTAGAAGGTAATGGACAGACTTCAGGAGGTCGTGAGAGAAATCCCTTCTTCCCGTTCTGATAAGCTCTCCCAGGAGGTTTTCTCAAGTGGATACCATGAGGGTAGAAAAGACCTGCCCCTGTCACGGCTGTGTGACATGGTGAGCGGCAAAGTGTAACCCCTGACCAGAACCTTGTATCCAAAACGCCAGTGTTTCTCACGCCGCGGGGGGCAGAGTCCTTGCTCTTCACTTCCAGGGAGCTGAGCCTCCGCAAGCTGAAAGCACCTTCAGCAGAGAGTGGCCACTCAGCGCTTCCCCCCAGCTCTGCCCCCACAGCCCCCCAGTGCCGGCCCCACGCTGCCGTCACCGCAGCTGCAGGGCACAGCTTGCCGAGCACTTCGGGCTTCGCCCACTCTGCCTGTAAAAGGTATGGCCTTGCAGAGGCTTGCGCATCTCACATGGCTGTAAAAGTAATGCTCATGACCAGACCCTCGGTGTGGTTTATAGAACAAGTTTCGTTTACTTCAGTTTACAAAGTACAGCCACCAGCTAAAAACCGGAACGACTGGGGAATCGCACAACTCAGAGTGGCTTGGTGCAAATTTTCGCAAAGTGACAGACAAAATCAAAATAATTCAAATTATACATAAATGTAAAACAAAAAATTCAAGTTAAAACCAGGTCTGGATTCCTGTTAGCCCTAGAGATGATCCAAGAATATGTCAGGAAATAAATAAATCATTCCCATTTTCACCATAAAAGAGGGTGCTGCTCACTAATCCAAATGGTTTGGGTATTTACAGAAGGATGAAATAGAAAGAAGAAAAGCATTCACAGGAGTGAACTGAATTGCTGCAGGGTGATCATTTCCTCACATGCCCCACTGTGACTAAAAGAAGGCTTTAAATCACTGCAAGGAGTTAAGAAATTCCTTTTGAGCAGGATGCCATCATCTGCCCCATGCTGGGGGGATCATGCCAAGGTAAGACCAGCACAGTCTACCGGGTTTGGCTGTCACCACAGAGATTCTGAAGCTCCACAACAGCCCATGGCCACCCTAGGGCAGATGACAACAAATAAGTTGGCCTGGTCAGTCATGAATATTTATGAATAGGACGGCAATTTATGCAAGAATCCATCTGAAGGGAAGACTGCTTAAAGCCACATCTTCCTGGCCTCTGCTGGACTGTCCATGCTCCAAGGAGGGAGGAGGCAGACAGAACAGCTAAATCTCTGTTCTTCAACATGTAAGCAAAGCTGGTGATCAGAACACTCAGCATTTCCGCAAAGGCAAAAGCTAGGGTGCCTTAGGTGACTGCAAGAAAAAGCAGGCCCTTTCAAGTATCTCTTTCAACATTTGCAAACCAGTGGAGCAGAAGATGCTTTTATGCCCAACAGAGGCAGGGCAAATTCTGCAGTTAATGTCACAGCCTGCAAAAAAACATCCTGAAGGCCCATCCTAACCTTCTGTTTTCTTGTCAAGACAGATTTATTTATAGTCAGTACCACAGGGACTAGATTCAAGCGGCAGTGGTGTTATATCCATATTTTTAATGGGATTTGACATTTAAGGCAGCATTTCAGTTCACCTCTAAGCCTGTAATTACACTTGCAAATCTGCTTAGCAAGACATCAGGAGAGTATCCCAGGGGACTGCTCAAACAGATTGGTTCTGTTCTCATAGAAGCAGCATTTGAGTACCAAGTGATGCTACAAAGCAGACACTGCAGACATGCCTGACACAGACACTTGCAAACTGGACCCACTCCTCAGCTTCAAAATAAAAACAAAAATGAAGACTGCAAAGAGCCCTGGCTTTATCTTAAAAGCAACACTGTGCTGAGTCAGATACCACTGGAGGTCAGGAGCACTTCATGAATACACTACCAAGCCAGGACTCCTTTCTACACCCCGCTGGCTCTCTTTGGTCTCATGAAATCTGCAAGTGCTGAAAGTACCGGAGCAGCCCAAGGATGAAATCCTATTTGTCACCTCCTGGTCTAGAATCACGATGGCCCAGTGCTGAGAAGCACCTTTATGTCTCACACACAACACAAGTGCAGACTCTGCCCAGTGTCTCCTTCCTGGAGAAATGCATTTAGATTTCTCCTTTCGTTGTAGCCCTACCACCACTGAAATTTTGCGAGCAAATTGATGCTAAATGCCAGGATGCTTAGGACTATATTTTGCCCCCAATTTATACATCCCCCCTCCTTTATACCCAAAGATATGACTGGAACCAAATAAAGTACATATGAAGTACTCAGCTGGGCCTACATGTATACTCAGTTCTCTTCATGTCTGTGGAAAAAGTAGTCTGATTTTTTCAGATTTGGACTTTACATCCATGCCCATGGGAGGCAAAATGAAGGATCTCCTTTCACAAGCCACCTGAGCAGATCTTTCTGCACAATTGCAAATGGTTTCATCCCTGAGTTCAACTTTAAAAGAGAAAAGTGCAGTCCTCAGTCATCACCACCCTAGCACAAGAAGCAAAGAGAACATTTAGCGAAGAGCTGTCTGCTGCAGGAGCAAAAAGCAAACAAGCAGCACAAAGCTGGGGAAGATGGAGAAAAGCAGAAAAAGGCTAATTTGTATCATACCAAAGAAACACAAACAAACCTGAGACCAAAGGGTTTGGACTAGTAAAGGAAGAAAGATTACAGAAGGTAGACTGCACTTGTTCAACAGCAAAACCTTTGCAGGCCAGAGTGCTCATTTGGGAGCAGCCTGGTACCTCCGTCAACAGGCAAGAAAAACAAATCTAGAGAGCATTCCCAAAGAGACATAAGCAAAACTCAAATTTTCCTCTTTTTGCTCAGCAGGGATTACAGGACACTGTCCAGCTTAGTGCATACAGTTCTCCTCTCCACAGCAAGACTTCTTCTAGCTGACCGACGTGCAGTTCAGCTCTGCAGGGTCCTGCCTACCTGCTGCCATGACTCCCTCTGGCCCATCCGCAATACTGGGTTCACTGGAGCACTGCCTGTGGCTGAAACTGGGCTGCAGGAGGCGGCATTTGTCGGTACTGTCTGACTCCTCGATCACCATTCCTGTGTGCATCATGGAGGCCATTGCCAGGAGCTGAATATCTGAGTGAGCATTGGCAACGGTGTGGCGACGGATGCTACCACATTTCTCCAGGTAAGCCTCACCCTCCTGCTCCGTCAGTGGGGTCAGGACCATCTCACTGGGCTGCCGGCTCGTCACCACATGAGATGAATAATTCGGTACACCAGTCTTAGGACGGGATCTGGAGTACCGTCTCTCTGGAAGAAAACAAGGAAGCAGGAACGGTCAATAGGGCACAAACAAATCTTCACTCCAACTGCTAGGCTAGCCTCAGGGGAACAGAGAGGACTCAGCATGCAGCCACAGAGCATCCCACTGTTACCACTGGGGAACAATAAGGTGGTCATTAGTTCATACTGCTGGGGGTTTGGAAAGGAGGTCCGCCTCTTCACTGGTAAGGAGACACCTCCCATGGTGCTCTAAGGCAAGGATGCTGCTGCCTGCAAAAGAAGTGAGCCAAAAAATAACAAGTGCAGCAAAGGGACTTTCTTCAGCATCCTGATAGTCTTGTCTTTTACCCAGGGGGTAATCAGTGACATTAAATCAGTGACACCAAAGTGGCACAAGTCCCCAGAGAAACATTCAGTGAGGACCTCAGTTGCCATCCCTTTCTCTGGAAAATTTCTCTTAGGAGATGCTGTTAGCTGGTGTCAACATGAAATTCATCAGGAATTTACGTTGCACTGCCCCTCCAGCTTCCTAGGGAAAGGTGGTTCTGCCAGTATCATCCCACTGTATTTTTTAAAGATTATGCAAGAAAATGAACATTTCATCCACTTTAAAACATGTCTGGTTTTGGGACTAGACACTGAAAACATCTAACTGCACAGCAACAGCCCACAACAGCCCACAACAGCCCGGGGGGAAAGGCGCAGAAGAGGAAGGCAGTACCTGCGGAGCACGGGTGAAGGCGATGACAAGAGAATTGACGGGTGCAGGGTCTACAATCTGCTGGGCAAAAACATTCAGGGGAGAAAATGCCTGGTTTAAAACTCAAGCCCATGGCACAGTCCCCAGCCCTGTATCATGAAGCACCATTTCAATGCTATCACTGAAAGCTTTAAGAAAAGCAGGGGTCTGAGTTTGTGCCTTGCCTCACGGTAATTCACTCCCCTCGCAGGCTGAATCAGACTATTACTTTTCACCTGCTGCCTTCTACTGCCGTGCAGCATTGCCATGTGGTGTTAAACAACTCATGTGATCTGTCCTTGAAGCAGCTGATAAAGCTATTCCCTACCTCTATCTCTGTTTCTCACCAGCTTCCTTGAAGTGAAAGGTCTCATTTCATAAAGCTGGAAGCCTTTAAACCATATAAAATACTTCCACCAAGACTGCAGAGTGCAAGACATAACAAAAGTTAAGATAACAAAAGTTCTTGTTACTGCAAGAGTAACAAAATGAAAAGTAAAGCACTTGTCACTGAAGGTTTGAAAGAGTTTTGGAAGCTTGCATCAGGAAGAAAGGCAGAAAATAAACTCTTTGTTGCAGGGAGGAATGGGTGAGCAGCCAAAACTCCACCACTGGCAGCAGTCAAGCTATGACAACACTTCACCCTGCTGCTGCCAGTAATACATTCATTTTGGTTGATTTTGTGCAAATAACTTTTGAGGCTGGTTATGGTAAGTATACTCTTCAGGTGTCATCTGCAGCTCCAGCCACAGCAAGCTGTAGTGTTGGAGGGCACTGTGAAAAAGTAATTTAAGGGGGAAGCACGGAAGCATCCCTCGGCCCTCCACCCCTCCTTGCAGCTCTGTCAGCAGTGGTAGGCAGGGCAGCAGTGGGCAAGCATCCTAGCACAGCACGGGCATCACCAAACCCCATGCACCTTATTAGTGTTCTCCTGCTGCCTGCTCCTGGGTCTTGGAAAGTTACCCTGGCACAGACAAGACTGAAGTAACACCAGTGTCATTAGCAGTAGCTGCTTCTCTACCTTCACCAGTACTTATCAGGGCTTCTTCATTTCTGACTTCTGTGAACAAAGTGATACCAAAAGAGTGACACCAGTGTTGGGGGCAGTTATAGACTTGCAATGTGACTGATCCAGCTTGAGATCTTTAAACACATTTAGGTGCCCATCTCTTGTCTATGTTAGGAAGTCAGACAACTTTAAGAGCTGCTCAAGTCTTGGGCTGAAAGGAGAAAAAGAGCTCAGTAGCCTCTTGAGGTAATGGTTCATTGCACTCCCCCATCCCATGATTTAATATTTACACTATGTTTGTCCTGCGATGGCTTCAGTTATACAGAAGTGTCAGCTAACTAGAGAGGTCTGAGGAGATTAAACTGAACTGAGCCATGCAAAACACTGCCAATTTTCCAGACTCCACAGCTGCAGATTTTGCAGGCAGGGGCTGAATCTTTTTTCTTCTCTATTCCTATACAACACATTCAAAATGAAAACATGCTTCATTTAAACAGGGACAGATTGCAGCCTTCCCCAAAAGCCAGCACACACAGGAAAAAGAAAAATCATGGCCATGGCCTGATGTTCACTTAAATAGATAAACAAAAATATTCCCATGAGAAAAAAGAGCCAGTTTTGTATGTAAATTTTTAGTGATGCTGAAAGAGCCAAGCCTGATGACCTGAGAGATTAAAGTCCACTAAGAGCAAACATAATATAGGAAGCAATGATATAAAATTATTCCTGCCCAGCCTGGCGACCCTGCCTGCACATGAATTGGCAAAGAGATCCTGAGATCCTTTTCTGTCACATCTTCAGCTGCTGTGGTAACAAGTGTCATTAGTTCCATCAGCTACCATGGTAGTTTGCAATCCAGGCAGTCTGTATTCTTCATTTCACAGGTTTATACACAATGTATGTACTTGCATACATGTTTGCACGGGTGTGTATGTACACACACTCACTGACTAGCAGACTGCACAGAGCTGATGTATGTGCCAGTATTTCAAAGTCTGACATCATTCAGCTTTTGAATATAATCAGAACCTGGATGGGCAGATTGTAAAAACCTGCTGGTATCGAAGGAAACACCGACAGCAATCCAGAAGACCATAGTCTTCCCCTCAGACCTGTATCAGCATGGGAACAAGAGCATTGCATCGCTTCCTGCGTGCAAAAATAAAGCAAAGGTTTGACTATACTGAAGCAACTACTGTACCCCAGACACCCTGCAATGCCCTAAGCCCAGAATTGAGCAGAGGTTGCTAACCCACCCAGGAATCTGGATGGACACGCAGGCAGTGTATGCCTGGGGCTCATGCTGCTGCAGCACAGCTGCTGTTCGCCTAAACCACGCAGCTGGTTACCAGCATGAGCATATTTATGCTAAAAGTAGACCCACATTTAGTCAGCATTCGCATGGCATGTTTTTTAAGTAGGCAAGCAGTTGATAGCAGTTTATCCCCAGCGCATACTTTAGTGTGGAGAAACCAAACTTTAACTCTTCTCTTTTCTATTCTGTTACAGGCAAGATGCTGCTTTCTGTCCCAGAAATAGCAGCATTTCACCATACTCTTCTTGTCACCGTGATCTTTTGAGATGATAAGGGTGCTGCTCAAACAGACACTGTGCTTCAGATACAGCTGAATGTGAAACACTGTAGTAGATAGCAGAAGAGTTAACCAAGTGACAGAAAAGGCCAGTTTTGAAAACTGCCAAAACTCCCCTCCACTTCCTCTTAACGCAGTCTTACCCCTCAACCAGGACAACACTAACACTTCACTGGTGGACTTGGAAACCCAACTGTCTTAAGTATCTGCGTGCCTTTGATAACCTAGACCTTCATCTGTGTCAATCCCTGACCATAAATATTTCACAAAAGTTGGGACAGAGGAGGGAGGAGGAAGGTGGGGATGGTGTGAAATAAACTAAAGAGGTTAAAGGACAAAGTGCTCAAACTTTATCTGATGTAGCCACAGGAATTATCCAGCTTCACAGCAGCACAGGAATGATGCAGTAACCTGCTGTCACAGCCAAATGGGTAGGACTGCAGTGAAACGTGTATTGGAAGTACACATGACAATGCTGGTTGGGCTCAATGTAAGAAGTTAGAAGAATTCTTTGTTCTCCCCGCTGCCAGCAAACGTTTTTCCTGAAGCTGTAGCTGTAAAAGTTGGGAAGGCTTGCCTGCGCAGTTACAGGAGGCCAGATGCTGTGTAACAAGCACAAGAAGAGGACAGGCAGTTCGGTCGCCATCTACTAAGGCTCGTTAGTCTTCAGCTTGACTGAGGAAGCAGGCCTGGCTTTTGACTTCTGAATTTGCTAATCCAGTTAAGACCTGATAGGTCTCTGCTTTTATTTTCTTCTTAAGACATTAAGCAATGATTTCTAATGCCAAGGGTGAGGGCTGCAAGAAACTGCACAAAGGAGTTGAGGAGCTTCCCTCAGTGGAGGTTTTAAAGAGCAGGTTAGCTGTAGAAGTGGCTTACATATGACTGACCAGGTAGTGAAAGAGAGAGATGGACAATGAGAAATTTCTCAATGTTTATTCTCTTTAGTGAGGAACAACCTGACTTTTACAAGGAAAAAATATTCACAGATTATTGTGCAGCAAAAATAAAATCCTTTATGATGAGAATCAGGTAAAAATTAGGCTAAACTCTGAACACTCATTTATTGCTTTACTTTTCCCCCTTTACTTTCTTGGCCACAAAGACAGTGTCTTAAGGGAGTTTTCATGCATAGTTTAACTAGAAATTTTACTTGTATTTTGGTGCATTATGGGCAGGAACATAATCTGGGAGGAGTTTTTAAGGGATTTTTTGCAAGCAAAATCAAATCTTCAGTGATGTTAGGTTTTATACACAAGGGGAATAGGGTGAGTGTTTTATCTTGTTCCCTATTCCCGATTTTAAACATTGTTTCTCAGACAACTGGATGCCTTCAGCATACTCCATCCTTCCAGTGCAGGTTATGGCTAATTTTACCTGGGCAAAGCAAGAAGGGTGGTAACAGAAGAGCAGGTGGGGACGCTGCCCTCTATGAATCCCCTCTGTGAGCTGTGCTGTCCCCTTTCATATCCATCCTGCTGCACAACTCTCTCACTTTAAATCAACTTTAAGATACAACAGCCTTGCAGGCTAAAGCCTTGTGTGTATTGACAGCTGTGATCAGACACCTTTAGTCGCGTTTCTCCACAGTAATTCATCTTGAAGGCTCTGGTTCAGAAAGCAGTTTGGCCTCCACAGCACCCTTTGAGAATGCAAGCATACCCAAAGCCCAACAGTGCATTTCCAAAAAGCTATTACAGGGAACCTACTGGGTTTCATTGTCATTACAGGCAGCCCAGTGAGAGAAGAGACTGGTTCTGACAAAGCAAAAAGGTGACAGAAAGAGGGAAAGGAGAAGAGAAAGAATTTGATTATGAGTGGGAGTTAAGGAAAAGAAACCACCACCATAGAAGCACTTTGAAAATAGCAAGATTATTTGCAGAAAATTGCTGCTCTGCTGTTGATGTCATGTAATGCAAACACAAGTTCATTCTTTCCTCCCACTCAGCACAAGGTGGAGAAGGTGCAAAAGGCCACCTTGGAAATACACTCAAATAAGTGACCACTAAAATCAAAGTAAATACAATGATTTTAAGGAACATAACATAAACTTTACAAGGTCAATTTGTGTGAAATTTTTCTTTTAGACACTAATGCCTTGTTCAGCTGGTGGAAATCCAGGATAGCTAGAAACTTCAGTACAGGTCAGGCAGCTACCTTTCAAACTATCCCAGCAGCTTGTAGATGTCCTTAAACAACAAAACAATTAAATTTGCCAAAGCTCAACTTTTACAGGGGATTGTAGCCTAGATTTAACTTCAGGATCAGGTCTTCAAATCAGTGCTGAACTGTATAACCATATTCACTTGCATAAAAAACATTTAATTGCCCAGCAACCACAAGAACAAAAACCCTAAGCCATAGTTTGCCTGAAGTGATGCCATGAGTTTGTTACAGGCACAGGTCATCTGAGTCCTGATAAGTCCTTCTACTGCAAGACCATCTTCTTCCCTGTGCTGCTAGGGTGTAGTCCAAGACAGAATGTGTGTCTCCAGCCTGCTACAATTTGCATCAAAGCAAAGGCTAAAGTGTATGAAAACAGAGGGAGACTGGAGCTTTCTTGTTCTATTTAAATCTTCTTGACTATCAAATCTGTATCACTACACCCATTTCTTACATAGCCAATCTCTTCTGGCTGGCCACATGTGTAAGCAGAGGTCCTGAATCATGTGTGGATAACTTTTCCCACTGTAAGCATCCCCTTCCTGAAGTGAAGTGCCAGTTCTCTCACCTAGGCTCATTTATCCACAGTTTAAACACAGATTATTATTTTTTTTAAACAGAGTCCTCAGATGGAAGGAAGACTCTATGCAAAAAACCCCTCTAATCCCTCAGAATGAGCATCCAACAGTTTTGCTGTTTGCAAAGGCTGCTGGATGCAGCAGTGAACATGGGAATACAGGCAGCTGAAGCAGGCGAGCAAGCAGGGACAGACAGCAGGCAGAAAAGGACCAGGTGCAGTCTCTCACCAGGGTGAGAGCAGTATGTCAGGCAAGGACCAGGGAGTTTTAAAATTCAGCCCACCTCCAGAGAGAGAGGGGAGATTTTGCACATGTGTGTGTGCAGTGATGAGGCCATAATAGTTCACTCCATCATGGAAAATAAAAAGCCCGTCACAAAAATCTACGCTCAGAAACATGTTAATCAGGACCTTCTCGAGGGTGTTTCAGCCTTTGTTTTCTGTCTCTCATGGTGTCATGCACTGTCTCCTTTTCTAGCACAGACGTGCACTGCCTCACATTAACCAACCGGTGTGCCCCAACAAGAGCTTCTCTATGATGCTCATGTCTTACCAAGCAAGCAGGTGCTACCAGAGAAGCTGTGATCCTCACACAAACCCAAGTATGGCGATACCACCTGCTTGACCAGTTCTTCCAGCTGCAGGTAGCCCTCACTGGGACCAGCAGGCTCATGGACACTCTGAAATTCAAGCATAAAAAGTCAACATTACCCTTACGTAGTTTTGAGTAAGGTTTTTGAGTAAAGCCTGGGGTCTGCCAAATCTCCCTGCACTGGAATATCCCAGCCATATTGGTACAGCATTTGGAGGAGCACAACAGACTAGCTCAAATGGAGGTTTGGGTGCCATTCAGGTCAACCTCCTTGTTCAAGTCATAGCCATAACCCTACGGACATCAAGCAGCCAGCTGCCTTTTTTTCTGAACAAGGGATAGGAAGGTCCAAGATACACTCACACTGAGGATTTGCACCGTGTAACTGCAGTGATATAATTATACTAGGGCAGTTCTACCAGGAAACATCTCTTTGTAGAAAAGCTGTAACAGCCCTCGGGCAAAGCACTGCTCTTTTCTTAGGCAGGACTGCAGGAAAAGCACCCTCTGTAGTTCAACTTACAGCTGTGAAGATGGTAGATAACACTAATCAATTTAACAGTAATTTCAGAAACTGTTCGCAGACTTAACTTCCTGCAAAGCCTCAATAAGTTTTTCTTTCTCAAATGCATCACTTTGAGACCCTCTTTTCCCTCAAGATTATTTTATTAAAATATTTCAGTGAAACTGAGTTATCGTTCTAGTATCTTTTGCTATTACAGTCTGGGTCACTGGGAACATCAGAACAGCGAGAACTCATACAGAAGTATCAGCTTAGCCACTTTGCAATTCCGACTGTGCTTCAGAAAGTCTCATTCCCTACCACTTATTATAAGGTATATTGGAGAAGAAATAAAAGTGAGAGGAACCCAAATAGCCACCTTTAATATGGTATTTTGCAGGACTGTCAGGCTGGGTGATATAAAAAGATAAAACAGCTGGTATAATTGGCTGTATGTGCCATGCTTGGCAAATATTCTCTTGAGGTCTGGATAAAGAGGATAGTCCTCACAGAAGGTCTGGATCTCTTGGGAGAGGCCTTTCGAAGATGTATAGCATTTTGCCTGCTGCCAAAACGTGTTCTTCCTCTCATGGGCACTGCTCAGCATCCCAGCCAGCCAAGGGGCTGGCGTCAGGCAGTCAGCAGCCACAGTTCATTCAATTCCACAATCCTCTGTGATGGAGACTCACCCTGTCATGGCAAAGCTGAGAAACCAGGAGAACTAGGGCACAAAGAAGCATTCAGAGAATCTGGCAGATGACAATTTATGGGAAAAAAAGAGTCCTGAGACTGATCCTAGCTGGGGAGAAGAGGTACCAAGAAAAATACAAACCCCAAAGAGCAGAACCTGGCCCTTTCATGGCAACATCCTTACCCGTTCCCAAGAAAGCTCAGGACATTAAACATTCAAATTCAGTTCCTATGTCTGCATTTACCACTCCCAAATAAGGACTTATCACTTCCCCTTCATCACACCCTCTACCAGGGTTTGTATTAGTTCATTGAAGACCAGACCCCCAAGTGAAGTCAGATGAAGAAGAGCAGAGGCTCCCCACCTGCAGAATTAACAGCATCTGGATGATGGAAGCTGGAAGCTTTGTCTGGACCAGAGGAAGAATTTCTTCCAACTTTACTTTTAGCAAGACCAAGTCTCTGAAGCCAAGAAGAGCAATCTGACGGATAGACAACTCCTGACCCTAAAAAACACAGAAGGCAAAATCCAAGACTTGGTAAAGGGATCTGTGAGCATTGCACCAATACATGTACACACACAGACAGAAAGGGTCTATCCTACCCATTGCTGCTGTGGCAAAGCACCCCCAGCTGCTCAGGTTGAGGATTCATGGTACTCTTTGGTTGGTTACGTCTCAGTCCCTGTCCCACACAAATTCTGAAATGAGTAACACCTCTTCTGAGGTGCCACTAGGTTTGGCATGAAGTCAAAAATGGGACTGTATTTCACCAAAAGACTATGTATTCATGAAAACCAACTGCCGTCCAATTTGGTCACAAACATCCAAAGCCCAGGATGGATGCAGCTCATGCTTTTACCACTCAGAGCTGAGAAAACAGAGAAGGTTTGGTAGGGTAAGTGGGTGGTACTGAGGATTCCTT